TCATCAGGAAAAGTCTAAAACAAAAATGTCAGCATGACTGGCTATCATAAGAATAAGCAAGCTGTTCACCAGGAAGCCATCAAGGCAAGCAATCAAGATCCTTCAGGACAAACTCCCCTCTAAGACTAAAACTCAAGGGAACACATGAGCAGGCATGTAAGCTTGCTGGTGACCAAATTGGTGTACTGGTGAGTGGAAGATGGGGAAAGGCAGCAATGAAGAAATGGGCTGAGTTCAACCACAGTTCATTGACTCCTGTTGACCTGGAGATGAGAGAGAGAAGAGGAAGAGCTTGTTAGTAAGTTTGGTAAGACCTGGGGATACTTGAGCCTATGGACAAGGACATAGTCACAGAGGGCTAGAGCTGAGAGTGAAGCATCCAGCTGATATGAAGTGAGGGGAGATGAACAAGAACACCCAATCTTGAAGACAGTACCCATTTGATGTAGCTACAATGGCTTGATAATGAGAAATTGGCTAGAGGAAGATTAAAAAAGAAAAAAAAATTTTTTTGATAAAGGAAACAGGTAAATTGCTACAATTTGATGAACTTGACCTAAACTCATGGAGGTAGTAACTCTAAATACCAATAGAGAAGGATCACATCAAGTATCAATGCTATCCCCTCTGTACACAGGGTACATAGGGACAGGCAACATTGACACTGGCTACCTAAAATAGGGGGAGGAGAGCTATAAAGGCATGAAGTGACTGGCTTACAAGGTTTTATGATGGAGTTTAGTTTGAGTGTGTAGGGGAATTAAGTGTTCCCACTGAATAGTTTTCATGTTGTCTAGATGGCTCTGGTGAAAAGAGACAGGGATAAAATTCTTATGATTCAATAGTGAGTAATTGTTATCATGACTAATTGTGACTGTCACAATTGTATAGGTAGAAGTTTTATCACAAAAACGGGAGTGGTTAATCTTACAGTTCAGAAACTGTAAGATTACTGTAATCTCACAGTTCAGAAACTAGGACCATCAAAGCAGAAGAGCACAAGCAGAATGCGGGACCTTATCCACAGTAGCAGAGATGCCAAAGATGGAGGCAGAGGTGGTGACATAGAGAAGGGAAGTGGCTAAGGACTCTAGATTCATGGGAAGAAAGGAACCATGAGCTGGTGGCCAGGAGGCAGACTTGCAGAGTGTGCCCTTTGTAGATGTAAATTAATATTATATATGCCTGAATGTTTTGTTTTTTAAAAAAGAGCTAAAGTGAATAGTGAGAAATACTGTTAACTGATGGTATATGGAGGGGATTATAATCATTGTAATGAAACAAGGTTTGTGATTTGTTGATTGTAAAACTGACGATCTGCCCTGTAAACTTTCACTCAATCCACAATAAAAACCTTAAAAAAAGGGGGTGGGGTGGGGGATAGAGGTAAATACTGTTGACTGATGGTACATGGATGTGATTGTAATCATTTACAATGAAGCAAAACATGATTTATGGAATATAAAACTAATAATCTGCCCTGTAAACTTTAACTCAATTCTCAATAAAAACTTTAGAAATTAAAAAAAAAAAAAGTAAAGAGGACTTAAAGTGCTTAATGATGAATATCAAAGGCCATAGCCTTCAGTATGGGTTATATCTAAATGTAAAGAAAAAAAAATCATCACCATTGGACCAATAACTGTCATGACATATGGAGAAAGGATTGAAGTTGTCAAAGATTTATTTTGCTGGGATCAAAATTAAAAAATGTATTGCATTAGGCATATCTGCACAAGACCTCTTTAAAGAGCAAAGATAACAGTTTGAGGACTAAGGTGCACCTGACTTCTGCCAATATATTTTCAATAGCTTCATTTGCATGTGAAAGTTGGTCAATGAAATATGACTAATTCAACTGAGAACTGAAGTTTTTTTTATCGTTTTTATTGTGAATTGAGTGATTATGTGGGTAAATATCAGTTTTATATTCATCATTTCATTGCAATGATTACAATCTCTGTGCATCATCATTCAACAGTATTTGCTTCCATTCTCTCTGTTTTGTTTTATTGTTTTTTTGAGGGGAAGTACACAAAATCACTCAGGAATAGCTAATCAATTAAAGAATCAAAGAACACATTCTGCAAGCCTACCCCCTGGCCACCAGCACCTGGCAGCCAGTACATAGCCTTTCTCTTTCCATGAATCTGGAGTCCTCAGCTGCTCTCTCCATGCTCTCATCTCTGTCTCTATCTCTGGTGTCCTTGCTTCTCTGGATAGGGTCCCGCATTCTTCTTCTCCTCTTCTCCTTTGGTGGTCCAAGGATCTCTTCCTGGACTCCCCTCCTTTTGTTACAAAGCATCTACCTATACAGTTGTGACAGTCCCAATTAGTTATGATAATAGTTACTCACTATTGAATCATAAGAATCTTATCCCTATCTAATTTCACCTGACGTGTATAGACAAGATGAAAACTATTCACTAAACTCCCTCTTGAAAACTTGTAAGCCAGTCACTTCATGCCTTTATAACCTCTCCCATTTTAGGTAGCCAGTGTCTAAGTTGTCCATCCCTATCAACCCTGTATGCAAAGTGAGTACGATTGATTGTGGATGTGAGGACTCTCTCCCTCTCAATTGGTATTTTGAGCTAATCCATCCATAAGTATAGATCAAGTTCATCAAATTTTAGCAATTTACACTTGTTTCTTTTATCAGAAAAAAAAAGGATTTTTTTTTTTTTTTGCTTTTATCTTCCTCTGGTCAATTTCTGATCATCAAGCGATTGAAGCCAGTTTGGGCATTGAGAACTGAATTTTTCATTTTATTTTATTCTAATTCCAGTGTAAATAGTCACGTGGTTTTTGGCTTCTTTGTTGGACAGCACAGGTTTAGAGGCTATAATGTTGATATTCTCAAGACTTTACCTTATTAAGATATACAAGGGGTCTTCAAAAAGTTCATGGACAAATGGCATTAAAATGGTAGAATTTTTCCACAAATTTTTTTAGGGGGCAAGCCAGGCTTAAGGCATGAGGGGTTAGGGTTAGATATATGACTAGGTTTTGGCTATTTATTGTTTTGGCTATTAAGTTCATTTATTGTTAGGGTTATGGTTAGGACTAGGATTAGTATTATGGGGTAAAGGTTGGGTTAGGAGTTAGTCTTGGTCTAATTTTTACAGTTACAATTTTTTTTCTTGAAATCTATGTGATTTCCTCTTCATTTGGTATTTCTACAGCTGGATTATTACCTATTTTTCCTTTATTATTTTTTTGTTGTTATTGTTGCGATTGTATCTCTGGTTCTCTCTTTTCAGTCTGATAGATCTGTTTTACTTTGTATACTGTACTTGCAGTATCACCCAGAGGTGATATTATCATATATATTAGTCTCAGGTTGTTGTCTGCTACTGTTGGTTTTCTATCCAGAGAACTCCCTTTAGTATTTTTTGTAAGGTTGGTCTAGTTTTTACAGATGCTTTTAATTTATGTTTGTCTGAATGTGACCGAATCATATTTGATGGCAGTTTTGCTGGATATATGGTTCTTGGTTGGCAACTGTTTTCTTTCAGAGTTTCAAGTATGTCACTCCATTGTCATCTTGCCTGCATGGTTTCTGCTGAGAAATAAGAGCTCATTAGTTTTATTTTGTTTCCAGTTACCTTGGTTTAGTACATCATTATTTTCTGTGGGTCTCTAAGTATGTTGCCATAATGGAAGCAAACTAGAATTGAGCTCTAATAGTTGTCATTTCAGTCAATCAAAAGGTTTTTATTCTCTTTGGAAATACATGCATGTGTACTTTTTTTTCTTCCTTAAAGGCACGTTTGTTGCTGTTCAGTGCCCTCGAGTTGAGTCAGTTCCAACTCATAGCAAACCTGAATAGAGTTTCTGATGAGTAGCTGGTGAATTTGAGCAACCAATCTTGTGATTCAAACCAATCTTGCAATCTAGTGCATTATCCCACGGTACCACACCAAGACTCCAAAAGCAGTGTTTGCATTTCTCAACCCTTACAGGAAGAATTCTGTGCTCTTCGATTTACATCACATAAAAATGGCAGATTACCAAATCTCAAGGGATTCAAATAGTGTTCCTTTTAAATGTTCTTTGAGTTTTAGAAACAAAAAGAGATGACTGAAGTGGTATAATCAGGACTGTAGGGTAGATGGGCTAAGCTTTTTCCTAATGAGAGTTTTATAGAACAGACCTTGCTGCGCTCAAAATGAGCAGATACATTGTTGTAATGGGAAAAAATTCTTTACATGACTTTCCTGGTCTTTTTCTCACTACTGTGATTTTCAGTCGCCTTAAAACTTCTTCCTGTAATCATCGTATGTCATTTGAGAAAATCTGTCAACATTTCCCCTTTGGAATCTCAAAAAAACAGTCATTGTAACCTTCTAAGCTGACCTCTTGCCTTGAATTTAAGAGGTTCAGCAAATCGCCTCTGAAGCTTGGACTTTTTATTTTTGAAGGCGCCTTAACTAGACTAAGACAATGTATTATTGAAAGAACTTGTTTGAAGCCATCCACTGATCGCATTGACATGCTTGAATATGTTTTTTCTGGAATAAGCCCATGCATGTATGAAGTGGAACCCTAGTAGCATTATTATTATTATTATTAGTAGTAGTAGTAGTAGCAGCAGCATTATTTTTTGACTTACCTGTGTGTGTGTGTGTGTGTGTGTGTGTATACACATAAATATTTTAAATTTATTTTAAATATTTATGAAAGAATACGAAGGCATAGCTACCCTATCTCCCATGTATCATATGCCCACCCTTTCTAAGAGTTGTTCTTTCACAAGCTGGAATTAACATAGATCTAGGTTTGAATCTTGGCAATGTTTCATTATAGCTGTAATCATTTCTTCTTCTGTGATATGGAAACAGAACAGAGTTAGCAAGGTTAAGAGAAATGACATGAACAACTCTGAGAAGCCTGGTGTTGGTCTCCAGCATTACTGTATCTGTATTCATGTTTTCAGAAAAGATATTAAAATTGGAGACTGTTACTGTAAGTAATGTTTTTCCCCTTTTCTCTGCCAGGATGAAAATGGGATAAATAGACCAGTTTGTTCCTATGTTAGACCACTTCGAGCGGGACGGCTTCTAGATACTCCAAGGCAAGCAGCAAGATTTGTTAATGTCTTGGGTTATGAAAGAGCCCCTGTTATTGGCGGAGGAGGTAAACAGGAACAGTGGTGCACTCTGCTGGCCTTTCTCTGTAGAAACAAGGTATCACATGTACATAATAGAATTAAATAGAGTACAACACAGTTGCTTTGAATTTGTATATTTTCATAAGAATTAGCTTATAGAAAAAGTGTACATTTTGTCAGTTTGAACATATCAAAATCTTGATGTTTTCTATATATAAAATACTAAATGTCATTATTTTCTCATTTATGTAGTTTTTTTTAATTTAATTTGATTTCTGTATGGTAGGAACATACAAGTATGCTGGTATTCACGTGTCAGTTTAGAAATATGGAAACCAAGATATGGAGTAAATCCTAGATTGAATTAGAGACAGCACCAGGACTAGAATCATGTTTTCGAATCCTACTAATGTTAAATTTTGCTTAGGTAATTACCCTTTTAAAACTTGGGGTTTTAGCCCTTTTTAAAAGGGGAAAATGGCAGTACAAAATGAATGTTGTTGTTAGGTAGTTGACTTCAACTCATAGCAATCCTGTGCACCACAGAACGAAACACTGCTTTGTACTGTGTCATCCTCACAATTATTGTTACACTTGAGCCCATTGCTGCTTTCAGTATGCCAGTCCATCTTGTTGGTGTCTTCCTCTTTTTTGCGGACCCTCCACTTTACCAAGCATGATGTCCTTCTCCTGGGGACTGGTCCCTCCTGATAATGTGTCCAAAGTGTGAAAGACAAAGTCTTACCAACATTTCCAAGGAGCATTCTGGCTGTACTTCTTCCAACACAGATTTGTTTGTTCTTCTGGCAGTCAATGGTACTTTTAATATCCTCTAACACCATAATTCAAACGCATTGATTCTGTGGTCTTCCTTACTCACTGTCCAACGTTTACATGCATATGAGGCAGTTGAAAATACTTTTGCACCTTCGTCCTCAAACTGTTATCTTTGTTCTTAAGTACTTTAAAGAGGTGTTGTGCAGCAGGTTTGCCTAATGCAGTATGCCATTTGATTTCTTGACTACTGCTTCTATGAATATTTATTGTTGATCCAAGCTAAATGAAGTCTCTGACAACTTCAGTCTTTTCTTAATTTTTCAGGAATATAAAGCAAAAATCTTTAAATTGCTACTTGTTTTGTTTAGTTGCTAATACATATTAATTTTATTTGCAACAGTAAACTCATTTTACAGACTACTCGTTTGTCAGTTTGTCATACTGAGGTGACTTGTGTGTTGCTGTGATGCTGGTAGCTATCCTTACTAGTATTTTAAATATCCATAGGAACACCTCTAGTCAGATATATTTCAGAGAGGCTTCCATACTGGGAAGGAGGAGAGGCAGACCACTTCTGAATAGTTAGTTAATGAAAACCTTGAGGCTTTCAGAAGTACTTGGTCCAATATAATGTTGGAAGATGAGGTTGGAAGGTACTCAGAATATGACTGGGGAAGAGCTACTCCTCAAAGTAGAGCTGACCTAAATGATGTGGAGAAAGCAACACTTCCAAGACCTTCATTTGTTGATGGGACTCATAACATGAATTGTACAAAGTATGAATCTAGGAAAATTAGAAATAGTCAAAAATTAAATGAAATGCATAAGGATTGATATCCTAGCCATTAGTGAGCTGAAATGGACTGATACTGCCATTTTGAATTGGCCAATTATATAGTCTGCTATGCTGGGAAAGACAGATTGAAGAGGAATGAAATCACATTCATTGTTAAATAGAGCTTTTCAAGATCTGTCTTGAAGTGCAGTGCTGCTATGATAGGATAATATCCATACACATGGAAAGAAGACCAGTTAATACCACAGTGTACTCAAATTTATGCACTAACCACTTAAGCCAGTGAGCATGAATTTTCAGAATTCTACCAACTTCTTTAGTCTGAAAATGACCAAACTTTAAATCAAGATGTATTGACAACTACTGGTGATTAGAATGTGAAAGTTAGAAACAAATAGGAAGGATCAATAGTTAGAAAATATGATCTTGGTAGTAGACACAATGCTGGGGATTACATGTAGAATTTTGTAAGACCAGGGACTTTGTCATTGTAAAAACCTTTTTTTTTTTTTCAAAAACATACATGGATTACACCCATGGACTCATCAAATGGAATACTCAGGAATCAAATTGACTATATCTTTGAGAAGAGATAATGTAGTAATTTAGTATCAGAGAAACCAAGACCTGGGGCCAACTGTGGATGATCAGTTACTCATATGCAAGTTCAGACTGAAGCTAAAGTAAGTGAAAACAATTCTGTAAGAGCCAAAATATGACCTTGAATATATCCCACCTGAATTTAGAGGCCATCTCAAGAACAGATTTGATGCATTAGACACTACTGAGCAGAGACTTCGTTGGATGACATCTAGAATGTCATGCATGAAGAAAAGCAAAGTCATTAAAAAGACTGAAAAGAGAGAACACAAAAGAGACAACAGAAGAGACTCTGAAACTTACTCTGAAATGTAGAAGCTGAAGTAGCTTGGAGAAATGAAGCAGTGAACAAACTGTACAGAACATTTTCAAGGACAGATCAAGAATATAAAGTCAAGTATTATAATGAAATGTGCAGAAACGTGTTAGAAAACCCACTTGGAATAACTCAGTCAGCATTTTATGAACTGAAGGACCTGAAGAAATATTTGAGCCTTAACTTGCAATATTGAAGAATTCTATAGGCAAAATATTGAATGGCATAGAAAGCATCAAAAGAAGATGGAAAGAATACAGAAAGTCACTAACAAATAATTGGTCAATATTCAACCATTTTAAGAGGTAGAAAATGATCAAAGGCCTATGGTATTGAAGGAAGAAGTCCAAACTGTACTAAAGAGATGAGTGAAAAAAAGGATCCTGGAATTGGCAGAATACCATTTAAATGTTTCAACAAAATCATGCAACCCAGAAGTATTCAACTAGTCTGTGACAAGAAATTTGGAAGGCAGCTACCTGATCAATTGATTGGATATTTGTGCCCATTCCAAAGAAAGGTGACCTAATAGAATGAAGAAATTATCAAATAATATAATTAATATCACTTGGAGGTAAATTTTTGCTGAAAATAATTCAAAAACATTTGTAGCAGTACATCAACAGGGAGCAGACAGAAATTCAAACCAGATTTAGAAGAGGATGTAAAATGAGGGATATCATTGCTGATGTCAGATGGATCTTTATTAAAAGCAGAGAATACCAGAAAGATGTTTATTTGTGCTTCATTGTTTATGCAAAGTCATTCGACTGTGGATTATAACAAACTATGGATAACATTGCAAAGAATGAGCATTTCCAAAACACTTAATTATTCTCATAAGGAACTTTTCAACAGAACAGGGGGATACTGAATTCAAAATCAGGAAAGGTGTGTGTTAGGATTATATCCTTTCACCATTACTCATTCTGTATTCTGAGCAAATAATCCAAGAAGTTGAATTATTTGAAGACTAATTCTGGCATCACAGTTGGAGGAAGACTCGTTAACAATTTGTGGTTTGCAGGTGACACAACCTTGTTTGCTGAAAGCAAAGTAGACTTGAAGTACTTTTGATGAAGATCAAAGACTGCAGCCTTCAGTATGGATTGCCACTTTAAAGTGTTAAAAAGCAAAGATGTCACTTTGAGTTTTAGGATGTGCTTGACCCACGCTATACACATGTGAAAGTTGAGCAATGAATAAGCAAGACCAAAGAAAAATTGTTGTTGTTAAGTGCCATCAAGTCGATTCCGACCCATAGCGACCCTGTGTAGGGTTTCCAAGGAGCGACTGGTGAGCTTGAACCCCTGACCTTGCAATTCAAACGACTTTACAATCTGGCACATTAACCCACAGCGCCACACCAGGACTCCAAAGAAAAGTAGATGCATTTAAATTATAGTTTTGGTGATGAATATTGAAACTACCTTGTACTGCCAGAAGAACAAGCAAATCTGTATTAGAAGAAGTACAGTCAAATGCTCAGAAGTACAGTCAGAATGCTCCTTAGAAGCAAGAATGTTAAGACCACCTAGTGTCTCGGTCTTTGGGCACATTGTCAGGAAGGATCAGTCCCTGGAGGACATTGTGCTTGATAAAGTGTAAGTTCAGCAAAAAAGAGGAAAACCCCCAACAAGATGGACTGACACAGTAGCAACAACAGTGGGCTCAAACATAACAATTGTGAAGATGGCATAGGACTGAACAGGGTTTAATTCTGTTGTACATAGGGTCACTATGAATTGAAACCAACTTGAGGGCACCTAACAACAAAAACAATAGCAACAACAATTTTAGAGATTCAAAAACGTTTCTGTCTTAGTTCACTAGAGCTTCCATAACAAAAATACTATATTGCAATAGAGCTTTAAAGAATAGTTTATTGTCTTATGGTTTTGGAGCTTAAGAGTCCAAATATAGGGTTTCGGGAGGATTAGATTCTATTAGGTGTAGGAGAAACACCAGGCATTTTTTGGTGTTCTCTGGCTTGTAGATGGATGCTCACATGTCGTGTTTTCTCTGAGTGCATGTTTGTCTTTTTTCCCTTTTTCTATAAAGCACCTTCAGAAGGGGTTAGGCTTAGAGCCCACCTTACTCCTGTTAGGATGTAATTAACAGAAATAGCAAAGATTTTAGCTGGTCACATTCACAGACAGATACAGGGGTTAAGAATTTAAGATATCTTTGGGGAACACATTTGGTTCAAAACAGTTTCGTAATCCTTTGTGTTCGATAAATTTGGATAATATGATAGTAAACGAGACTTTTAGTATTCAAATTCTGTTGAAACAGGATAGAACAAAAGAAAATGTCCTTAATGTGTTATTGTTTTAAAATATTACTTTGAGTCTATGTAAATAGAATGGGTATCACTAGGTAAAGCCAATTTGTCAGAAAGATTAGCCTTAAAAGCGATAGAAAAACAGTTAAACAATTCTTATGAAAAAGTTGATTTATTTCCAAGCTATAGTCCCTTAACAGCAATATATTTTTATGTGTTGTTGCTGTGTGCCATTGAATCTGTTCTAGCTCATAGTGACCAAATACAGGGTTTTAGAGAGTGACTGGTGGGTTTGACCTACTAACCTTGTGTTTTGCAGTTCAGGGTTTATCCTACAGTGTCACACCAGGACCCAGGACTCCAATAACTAAGACAGAGGCCCCTGACAAAAGGAGAAAAATGTGGAACAAAACTCAAAATCATTTTAAAAAAAAGGCCAAGTTGGTGATTTCCAAGTAGCCACTGCTTGGAAACTCTATACAGGGTTGATATAAGTCAGAACTGACTCAGTGGCACTTAACAACAACAATAACATAACAAAAATACCAGAAGTGGATGACTTTAACAGATTTACTCTCTTACAGTGTAGAAAACTAGAAGTCTGAATTCAAAGTACCTGCTTTGAGGAAAGGTCCTTGTTTCCTTTCAGCACCTGTAGACTCAACATTCCTTGGAGATCTCCATTTGTCTTAACATTACTCTGTTCCTGGATCTTGGTACTTCACAGTGCTGGGATCTCAGGTCCAAAGGACACACTTTACTCCTGGCTTTTCTTTCTGGTGTTAGTAGGTTCCTCTTTGTCTTTTCCTCTCTCCTCTTACATCTTAAAAAAGATTGGCTCAAGATACAACCTAGTTCTGTAGATTGCATTTGACCTCATTAACAGAGAAGTGAGGATTTGCATCACATTGATAATTACATCAGATCAGGGCTGAACACATCAGATCACATTATGGGGTAACAACATCATGTTAAATCTCATCATGGAGGTGATAACTATATCTTAGTTGCTAAACCACTGAGAATCCTGGCCAAGTTGACACAAAACCTTAACTACCACAGTCTCCTATTATGACCCTTTTTATGATAGATCAGTGGTACTAGCCATGTACCATCTAGTTTTCCTGGTCTCAATTTCATGGGGGCTAAGGTTTGCATGGTCCATTAGTCCTTTGGAATAATTGTTTCCATGTGTCTTTGATTTTCTTCACTCTTTTTAACTCTGGCTGGAGAGAAACCAGTAGTTGTACCTTAGATTGCCACTTAAAAGTTTCTAAGATTCCGGTTGTTACTCACCAAAATTGGATGTAGAATGTTGTCTGTGTCGACTATGTTATGCCAGTTGAACTTGGTGTCCCATGAGACTATGGTCTTGAGCCCCCAGATCTAGTGACTCGTTTCCTTAAAATACTTAGTTGTGGCTAAGAGGTTTTCATAATTTTGTTTCCTGTATGTTTTGCTATAAAATCGAAAAACTAAACTTACTGCCATCAAGAAGGTATGGCACTGTAGGATAAGCACTGGATGGTTAACTGCAAAGTCAGCGGTTCCAACCACCAGCTATTCTTTAGAAACCCTATATAGGGTTGCTATGAATCAGAACTGACTCGCCAGCACTTAACAACAATAGCAAAACAACACCTGCCATCAAGTTGATTCCAAATCATAGTGACTGTCCAGAGTTTCCAACACAAAATCTTTATGGGAGAAGACAGCCTCATCTTTTGCCCATAGAATGGTTGGTAGCTTTGAATTGCCAGCCTTACAGATATCAGCCCAATGCCTAGCCTACATTATCACTGATTGATGTATAGTTCTTTGGTAAAACAGATAATCACCCATTTGATTCACTATTCTGTGTTTTCTACCTAAGTTTGTTTTTGAACAAACAAAAAAACGTTAGAAACTTGAAAATTATTTAAACATTTCAACTATTTTTGTTATACAAATAGTAAATTTCAAAGTTGTAACGTTACCCATAATTTTATTTCCAGTTTATATTTTTGTGTTTTTCTCCTTGCATCTGTACCCCTTTTCCATAATTATATGATAAAACTTGGTGTCCTACTTTATAATTTGACATTATTCTATGAATGTTTTTCCATGTATTGCCACATCTGGGATTTCTGTATTTTGATGATGTTACAAAATTTTCTTGAGTCTATACTTGTGAGTTGTTTGACTCAACTTTTTTCCTGTTAGGAAGTGTTCCTTTTGGCTGAGTTAGACTTGCTTCCAATTTATTTATATTACTATGAATGAATTTTTGCATTGGACATCTTAGAGTGTATTATTTTTCTTTTGAGTTTTCATTAGAATAAAATCTGAGAAATTAGTAGTTTCAAAAGTTTGGGTATTTTTTTTAAGGTCATAATTATAAAATATTTCTTTTATTATGGTTAATTTTAGAAAACTGTATTTTACTACTAACTGATTTTTGAGGGAAAGAAATCATACCATATTCTGACACTCAATTACTCAATATTAGTTACTTTTGCATTTACACAAGCACATATTTTTCA